AACATGCAATATCTTTGCATTTATTTGTGTCTTCAATTTCTTTCATCAATGTCTTGAAAGTTTTCAATGTATAGGTCTTTTACCTTCCTGGTTAAATTTATTCCTAGGTATCTTATTCTTTTGGATGTAATTTTAAATGGGATTGTTTTCTTAATTTCTCTTTCTGATAGATAATTTTTAGTGTACAGAAATGATTAGTGTACATAAATGCAAGGTATTTTTGTATATTGATTTTTGTATCCTAGAACTTCACTGAATTTGTTTATTAGTTCTAACAGTTTTTTGGTAGAGTCTTTAAGGTTTTCTCTATATAATATGTCATCTGCAAATAGTAACAGTTTTATTTCTTCCTTTCCAATTTAGATGTCTTTTATTTCTTGCCCAATTGCTGTTAGGCTGGTTTTTCTTGAGACAATGACCAGCAAAGTCTGTAGGCTGCTGTACCCTTAAAACACTGCTCACTATGGTCCCTACCCAGCCTGACTCCCTCATTTCCTCACCTGACTAGCAGATGAGTTTGCAAGACTGGTTTAAAATAGGATCAGACTGGGTAATTAATGAACTCGACGTGAGGAGCAGAGCAGACTCACTGTTTACCTAATTCAGAAATGAACTGAGAAAGAAAGAATGTGAGGGAAGTTAGATCAAAGGGAGGTTGTGTAGTTACCCAGACTGTTATGAGGGTTTTGAGGCTTGCTTTCTTGTGGACAACTTTTATTCTTCTATCATAAGTGGATAGTTCACCATCAGAAGGGAGCCACCCCTGCAAACCAGCTTATGTTACCCTGTTGGCTGAACTTAGCAGAGCATACTCCATCAGAGCTTCTGTGAATTATGCCTGGGGTCCATCCTGCTTCAAGTCGACTTCCACCAGTAGTGAAGTCATGGACTCAGGAATTTTTGCAAGAAAGGGGTTCATTTTCTCTTCTTGCTCCCCACCCTTGCAAAAACAAAAATTCCATGGTATACCTATTGTTAACATTCTTATATTAAGACTGCCTTGCCTCTACTAAGTTTAATATAGGAGCTTAGGATATAGGAGCTTCATTATTAACAAAAACAAAAACAAAAAACAACAACAAAACAATTTTCAGAGTTGCTTTGTTGAACAACATGTCAAAAGTGCATGGTTTGAAAAAATGGTTTTCCATGTTCCTTATGTTCATCTTTCAAGTTCATGGCCATCGCCCATCACCACCTGAGAGTACTTAGTGCTCAGGATAACTAAAAGGGAGAATAAATCCTGCTTGCTTTGAACACAACCCAGGGTTCACCGTATGTTCCTGTACTGGCTAATGCTAATCAGCTCTTCCCGTCTTCCTCCCCTCTTTTGTGCTTGTAAATCAAGAGGCCCCAGCATTAGTCAACACAAAAGAGATAATTAGTAAGTACAAGCTGCTACCTTCATAGATCACTCTGTGCCTCAGATTTAAGTTAAGCCAAGAAACTGGAGCAAGCACCATTATACAAGTATGAGTTGCTTTAGCAGAACATTTTTTTAACCAAGGCTTATGAGTCTGAATGTTTAAATCTATATTCTGTACCCCCTCCAACCACTGTAAGAATAGCTGTGATATGAGGCCATAGGGAAACCTTACTTACCCATTTTATGAGGTTTTCCTTACTTGGGCTCAGATGTGTCTTTGGAACTCCAAAGATTTGAAATAGCAATGGTTTCTTAATGGTACAGTCTTGGGATTCAGATATTTTTAAATACTTGAACCCTCCTCACAAATGTGGCAGCAGAACAGGATGCCACCTTTTCCACTGGGATATGCTGTGTCCCCTCAGAAAGCCATGGTTTGTGGCTTTGCCAGCCAGTTGTCTAATTGGAAAATTCATTTCCTGCTCTGGCAGGGCACATGGTCAAGGGCAAGGGCATTGCTGAGACACTTTCCAGTCCAACTAACTAGTCTAGGAACTTGCTACCCATGCATTGCTAACCAAACACTGCTGGCTTGTCTAGAAGTGTTCCACTCATGTATTTATGACTTTGGAGCCACTCGAATGCATGCTGGCTTTTATTTTTTTTCCATCACACAGTGTTTCTTCCAATTTTTGAGTTTCTTATATCAACCACTTCGCTATTTTTAAGCGGAACAATTCCAGGCCAAAGTAACTAACCTGAGGAGTAAAACCTCATCAGTTCAAACAGGGAGTCTGAACTCTGAGGGAAAGGCTAGCGTTAGAAGCTGCTAGCTACACTCTATGGCAAGAGTGTGGGGTTGTACAATCGAAGTCTTTTTCTTCTAACAGTAAAACCACATTTCATCAACTCTAAGATGCCATAAGAAACAGCATATTTTATGTACCAACAAGAAAAGAAATTTTAAAAATCTGCCACTGGTTAAATGATCTCAATACCTTTAAAGATATCCCTGAGATGTGTGGATTGGTCACATCATGTGGTTTTGAAATCCATTCAGACACATGCGGCAACCCCTCCTGCCCTCTAGCTGTGTTATTTGGCACAAAATAGGTCTACCCTTTTTAATGATCTCAGTAACAAAATCTAACACCACTTTTCATCTCTGGGGGGGGGGGGCAGGGGAAGCACCTTTCTCTCTAAGCAAATAAAGCATGTGCTTGGCTTTTTGCAAGAAAATGTGGAACATCTGTCTTCCTTCTAACGATGAATATTTGCTTCATCAATATCAAATTTACATGCCACTGCTCTGCTTTTGAGACTTTCTATATATACAATAACTTTTCATTTTCTGTTGTTTAAACTTTATTTAAACAGTCATGGTCATTGGTTACCTGTTGCTTTCACGCTACAATGGCATAGTTGACTCTTTGAAGGAGGGCACAGCTCACAGTGGCCCATGCAGGGATTAAACTGTCAATCTTGGTGTTATCAGCACCATGCTCTGACCAACTGAGCGAACCGGTCACCCCAAGTAACTTTTCATTTTAATACTGAATCATAATGTAATCTTTTCTAAGACATTTAATGACAGTTAAACTCAATGGCATGGTACCAAGAATGGATGCAACTCAATGGAAGTGACGAGTTGGACACCTGTGACCATGTTTGCCATGCTTAGGTAGTGGCATCTGCATTGTGATGGTGGCTTGGCAACAGAAGCTGTATGACCCCATTAGTCACCCATTCATCCTAACCTGAGAGATGTTAAAGTATGAATTAACTGGCATTAGAATGGATGAATTATGGAGCTGGCTGAGTGGCGTGTTGGTTAAGAGCTGGCTTGGGACACCAGTTCTGAGCAGCAGGGCCCCGGTTCAGATCCCACATGAGGGCCACTGACGCTGTGCCCTCTACAGCTAAGATGGAGAACAACAGCTCGACCTGGAGCTGGGCTGCTGTGAGTTGCCAGCGACGGTATAAGCTGCAGTGAGGCTGCAGTGGGCTGCCGTAAAGCTACCATGAATGGCTGGCAGCCAGCATGAGCGGCCGTCCAGTGGCCAGCGACTGATCTGCCTCACCTGGGAAGAGCGCAATGATAATACCAACATGGGCCAGTGAAGCAACGTCCTCCACAACTAGACAGAAGAACAAAAAAGGACAGCAACTTGTCTGTCCCCCTTCCCAAATTCCCCAATGCTGTTCCCCTCCTCCAATTCCCCAATAAAATCTTAAAAATAAAATAAAATAAAGAATGGATGAATTATGGAAGTAGCTCCAATCTATTGAGAACTTACTGTCTATCTGGCAATGTACTAAACTCTTAACAAGACTTAGTGTCAGCCAGACCTCACAGCAGCCCAAGATGTATGTGCAGATTGGGAACTTTAAGCACGTTAAGAAAATTGCCCCAGATCACACAGCTAGGTAAGTTTTAGAGCAAGGATTCTGATCCAGACAACAGGCCCTTCTAGCCACAAGCTCTATTGTTCTACGGGCCATATAAATCCTGCGTGCATATTGAACGCAGACTGCTGTTTGATTCTGTTTACTTTAAAAAACAAGAAGCATCGCCCCAGATAGACTCTAAAATGGGTTATTTAGCTTGTCACTTCTCAGCCTTTGGGCTAAGACCAAGTGTGTAAAATAGTTCAACCATATAAGGTTTCTATAACAAATTGATAAAAATAATTTATATTAAGCATATTCATTATATGCAAGCAGCCACTTCTTAAAGGGGCTCACCCATATGATTTCTGCCTTCACAACTGTGGAAGCCAGTGTGGCTATCTGTGGCTACTTCCTTACCACAGTGCAATGAGATAGTTAAATCCACCATTTGCTGACCAAAACCCTACCTAAGAGCTGAAATGACTTGCCCAGTGGCACAGTATGGACCTAGATCAACTCCAACCTTGGTCTCCTGGCCCTTGGGCCTGCTCTTTAACACAGATGGTCATTTGTTTTGTTTTTAAAGACCATGGGTATTGTTTTTTCTCCCAGTATTAGAAGGCATGACAACGAATGAAATTTTTTAGTACATAGGAGCCCCCAGCCCCTTGTCCTGGCCGCTCTGAGACTAGCCTAGAGGTAGTGAAGGGAAGTTGATAAGCCTGCCTCTTGAGAATAGTGATGCTGAGTAACCCTGTGGCTTTGTGATGATGGTGACTCTGTGCCCAGGAACAGTTAAATATGGAAGCTGGGAGGAGCTTTGAATTTATGTTCAGTGCTTTGGGAGCTTAAGCCCAAAAGAGAGGACTGAGAGTGTGACTAAGCATTGTCATGGTCAAAATAAACACCAGCAAGGAGGAATTACCAAGTCCAAAGAGTTGAAGATGTCCAGCTACAAGCCTTAATCTCATAGATGCCATGACAACTTGCATAAATTTGCATACCAGGGGCCCATGTAGAGATTGCTTTAAAAGAATGCAGCAAGCATCTTTTAAAAAATTTTCTCAAATGATCAGTTCATTTGGTTGGCAAGTGTATATGAATCTATACATATGAACAGGGAGGTGGATATCGGGGTGAGCAAATCAAGCTCCACGTGGTACAAGCATGCCTATGTGAAGAAGCCTGGATGAATTACGTGCAAAGCCAAAGCCATTTCTCACGTCCACTGGTTTTGTTACAGCTGTAAAGGTGCCTCCCACTATGGCCTGACCAAAGACAGGAAGAGGCGCTCTCAGGATGGCTGTCCAGATGGCTGTGCAAGCCTTACTGCAATGGCACTCTCCCCAGAGGTGTCTGCAGCTGCCACCATCTCCTTAATGACAGACGAGCCTGGCCTAGACAACCCTGCCTATGTGGCCACAGCAGAGGATGGTCAGCCAGCAAACAGTCCCTCGGACTTTGGCCGGAGCAACCGAACGAGGGGTGAGTCAAATGGGTGGTTGTCTGGGAATGGGCTCTTTGCCTTGGGATGGCCCTCTGTGGAATATTCAGTGTGGAAAGTTCTCGAAATGTTTGTATTTTTTTTTTTTAAGGAGAAATCACTCTGGTAGTTTTGGCAGCAACCCAATGTCCAATTCTCCAAAGTGAAATGAAACCACGAGTACCTCAGGTCATTAAAAATGTGTGTAATCTGACTTAGTGAAAGGAGTTGAAGCTAGACCTAATTCATCACCCCCACAATATCAGTACCTTCCCATCCGTGCTGCCCAAGAAAGATGCTCTTGTATTCAGTCCAAGCCCAGGAAGAAAGAAAAGCAGGTTTTAAACAAGCCCTATATATTTCATTGTAGAAAATTTAGAAAACATACATAAGCAAATTCTAACATCCTACCATCTAGAGGTAATCACTGTTCATGTTTTATTGTACATCTCTTACCAAAAGCATGCATAAAACAGGATTTCTATGAATGTGTAGCTACTGTTCCTTTCTTCTCTCTTTTCCTCAGCGCGGCCCTTTGAGCGATCTTCTATCAGAAGCAGATCTTTTAAAAAAATAAATCGAGCGTTGAGTGTTCTCCGAAGGACAAAGAGTGGAAATGTAGTTGCCAACCAAGCTGACCAGGGGAGAGAAAATTTTGAAAACACGACTGCGCCTGCAGGTAAATGAATTCTCCACAGACTGGGAAGGGGCTGGCCCTCCAGGATGACTTCAGGGGTGACGACAACTTCACCGCCACTCACTTTCTATGACAACTCTCTTCCCAAGGGTATAAAATAGTTCTGACCTTGATTAGCCTACTTTTCACGTTAGTATCTACAGGCAGAAATTATAGTTATCTGTTTACATAGACTGAGGGAAAAGGTGTTACCTTCAGGTACTAGCTGAATGCATATAAAGAATAATTATGTTTAATATGTGCAAAGCAGTTAGAACAGTGCCTACCACAACAAGTGTTGTTTTAAGGGTCAATTGTAAATACTGTATAAGTATTTATTCTTATTATGACTATGATGTGTGCTTCTGAGCGTTTTTCACGCGTTAACTCATGTAATCCTCACAACTTGATGAAGTAGCTGCTGTTATTATCCCTGATTTATAGATGAGGAAACTGAAGCATAGGGAGGTTCCTCAGCTTGGCCCAAATTACCTTGCTAGATGTTGAATCAGGTAATGTGGCTCTAGAATTTATGCAGAGTTGTTATTAGATCTTAGATCCTGTGTGTTTTCCCCAATATAAATGGAGCTGAGGAAATACTGTTCTGTTTCCTTCCTTTTATATTAGAGCTTCAGGGCAGTAATAATAGCTACAAAAAAAAAACACACAAAAAAAACATTTCCTGTGTCTCAGGTAGTGTTCTAAGTCATTTAGACATCACAACAATGCTAAGGAATTATCATGTTCATTTTACAGATGGGGAAATTGAGGCCCAGAGAGATTAGGTAACTAGCCCAAAGTCATCCAGCTAGAAAATGGCAGACCTAGGATTTTAACTCGGGTTCTCTGGCTCCAGAGCCCCCTCTCTTAACCATTGGTCAAACCACTGTCCTTAGCATGCCTTTAGAGAATTCCTGAGCAGCCTTAGATGACCGCTTCTTGCTTACTTGTTCATCCTGTACACACACACTCACACATGCACACATTGCTTGCTCTAACTATCCTGAACTTACAGTCCTGTGAATACTGTCTTTGGCTCACTTCCGTGCTGTCGTCCAGCCTGCACTCCCACTCTCCTTGAGCTGCCGTTCTAATGCCTCCTCCCAGGTTCAGCATAGGCTGGGCCTCCTCCTGGAAGCCCTCCCTGATTCCCTCAGTCCCCCATTCCTTTGTGTTCTTGAAGCACCTGTATCTCTATTATAGCAATGATCATCTTTTACTGGAACTGTACCTATGAGGGTAAGCGTTCTTTTTCTGAGCCTTTGTATTCTCAAGGCCAGACACAATCTCTGGTGCATAATAGTGTTCACTGAATGTTTGTGCAATGAATAAGTAAAAGGATCAGAACTTCCTTTCTGCCAGTCTTCTCTTATTAAAGTCTCCTTAATCATACTCTGTATAAAGTTTTCTCCTGCCTGAGTGATTTATTTGCATGTTTATTGCAGAAACAATTTTAATAAGAGATTACTATGAGTAAGGCACTAACCTAGGCTCTGTAATTTTATACAAAGACTACAAAAGCCAGTCCTGGTTTCGTTCAAGACTAAAAGAAAATAAAATGCCAAAGAATGAGGTAGAAATAAATGATAGTGGCAGCCATAGGGAGAGCAGCATTACTGCCAAGTAGGGCCATGTAATCCATGTTTAAGAAATGGTTTATGATCTGAATGGGCATTGAGATCTTGACTGTGTTGGAAAGTAGTGGGAGATAAGGTTAAGGTCAGATTAGAGAGGGTCCTGGATGCCACTTAGGAGTCTGGACTTGATTTGGATCAGTGAATTTACTTGAAAGCTTTTGTGTAGAGTTATTGCAGGATTGGAGCTGTGTTTCAGGAAGATGAAGATGGCAGCCATGTTATGTGTGCAGGGGGCTTAGAGTGGGAGAGAATGGATTTGCTTCGATGCTCCAGGAAGCTATTACTCTGGAATAGGTGTTACTCTGGGTGAGGCGTTTAAATTCAGGGAGGCTGGTAGTGATGTCTGGTGAACTCATGGTATGGTTTATCCGTCTTTCCTTACATCAGTAAAGAGACTGGCTCTACTATTTATCAGCTAATATTTATCAGCTGCATGATGTTGGCCAGGTTACTTAACTTCTCCAAGCTTCAGTGTTTCATCATCTAAAAAAAACAGGGATAATAATAATTTACTTCATAGGATTGTTAGGACTAAACAAAAAACTATGCATGCAAATTGTTTAGCTCAATGCCCAGCATATAATAAACTCTTCGTAAATAACATTATATCCCTTACTCCTTGAGTGAAGACAGAATATTGAACCATTTCATTTCTTTCCAGAACAACAGAAGTTTGGCAGTTTAAAAATTACTTTAACTCTTCAAGGTCACTAGGGTCTCACTGGTGTGGCTCTCATTAACATCATTTACAAGTGTGACTGGGTGTGTCTTTTGACGAGCAAATCAAACACCTTTTCTTGAGGGGTTTAGGTTTGGGAGTCTGGTTTTTGTAAATCTGTTGGAAGGAAGGGTGGAAAGGGAGGGGGGAGGAGAGAGAAAATCAGCAACTTTGATGATTATTTCCAAATCCTTCTTTACTCAAAAAAATTTTTTTTTAATTTCCATTCCCTTGTCACCAGACCTGTTAAAACAAATGCTTGTGGTAGACCCTACTTAATGTAATCAGAGAAGTTTAAACATTAATTGAACTCAATTACCCTAGTGCTGTTAGCACCAGGAACTGACAGATTAAGACGGCTGCCCACAGCCTCACAGCAAAGCCAATCTCTTTCTTCAAATTAAACCCCAGTGAAGGTTAAGAACCCACATTTACAATGCCTCTGGCTTCCTCTGGCTGCTGAATTGCTTTGTTTATCATGTTCTATCATACTTAGAAATAACTTTAATTCTTTCTGTATGGTTCCTAGAGAGTTGAGTACTCATTAATGAACTCATAGTTCATTAGGGAAAGTGGACTAAGGTCATGGGTTTTGAAAAGAGTCACAAAGACTGCATGATGCCAAGCCAGGCCTGTCGTCTTGATCTTCCCAAAGGACATAATTAAGGGAGAATCTTAGGGCAGAGGCAGCTGTCAGCAGCCACAGGAGACAGAAGCATCTCCACACACCACATCCAAACTCAAACCTCAAGCAACTCCGGACGGGTGTTTCTTCCGCCAAGCGAGGTGTAGTTTGGCCAGTGTTTAATGGTGACCCTCTGCATACTTCTATACACAGTGAGGTACAGAACAGTGCCAGTCAGTGCTACTGGCTCGAGGTCTATAGGACAAGTCCCCTGGGTGAGAACCCCTGGCTCCAGGGAAACCTGAGGGAGGTGACAGGGTGGCAGGTCATTAGAAGCCCCAGTTCTGACCTGGTTCTGATGGCCACCTACCTTTGCAACCTCCCACCAGTCATAGCACTTCCCCTCTCCGAGCTCAAGTATCCTCACTTGTAAAATCAAGCAGCACAACCACTGGAGCAGGTCGTCTATGTCGGGGCACATGAGGTGGTGGTGGGGAGGGCATGAGGCATTTCATGGGAAAGAAGAGTCCTCAATGAAAAGATCAAGGTGGAAAATGCCAGCCTAGACGATCTCCGACTAGCCTATTAGCACTACTGACTTAGTGACCCAGGCAGATCAGGGACAAGCCTCTTAAAGCTGCCAGCGAGGCCTGGGCCTCTTTTCTGGATCACGAATCAGGCCGTTTGACTTCCTCAACTGACAACAGTGTCTGGTAGAGAGGACTGGTGCATCCCTGTGCCTGAAAAGCAGGCGCTTTCAGGAAGAAATCTTCAAAATGATCGCAGAGGACAGAAGAGCGAGTTATTCTATTTTGTCCCTTGATAAGTAAGTGATAAACTTGCAGCCCATTCCGTAAAGACCAGTCTTTCATTCATTCGTTCATTCATTCATTCATTCATTCATTCCTATTTACTCAATAAACACCAGCTGAAGTGTCCTGTGGGTGGAGATCTACAGAACAGCCATAAATTATGTCCTCAAGGATCTTAGAGCCCAATGAGGGAGGTAAGAAGCAGGCTTGAATAATAATAATAGAAGGTTGAGTGCCGTGACAAATAGAGAGAAAGCTTTATGAGAAGTGGGATGTCCAGAGGGAGCAGGGAAAGATGGATCAGGGCAGAGTTTAATTGGAAGGGATCATTTCATGCAGCCTGGAAGAAAAAACTGGGTTGAGTCCTAGAATGAAAAACATTCCAGGCAGAGAAACTTATGCTGGCACAGAGGCAGGAAAATGGAAAACATGTATGAGGAACAATGCATAGTTTAGTTTGGCTGAAACCAAAATTTGGCAAGAAAAAGAGTGGTTGGGAATGTGCGTTGGGTGGGCGTCTTAAATAAACACTGTCTTGGTCCATTTTAGTCTTTCCAAGGTTGTATCACCTGATTCCAGATGGTGAAATTACCAGCATTAGGATCAATCGAGTGGATCCCAATGAAAGCCTCTCCATTAGGCTTGTGGGAGGCAGCGAAACCCCACTGGTCCATATCATTATCCAATACATTTATCGTGATGGAGTGATTGCCAGAGACGGCCGGCTCCTGCCAGGAGACATCATATTAAAGGTAGAGACTATGACTGTGGGGTCATGAAAAGGGGATTAATAAAAATCACTTCAGAGCAAATAATTGGATGGATGGATGCAATGCTAAAATAAATGTGGAGTAGTCACTTTCCATAGTTGCTATGTTGTTATGCTCGTCATCTGAGATTTGTAACTTAATTGAGATAGGTCTTTGTCCCTCTCTGTTTTTCTCATTCTTTCACTCTCCTTTCTCTCTGTATATAAATATTTCTTTCTGTCTCTACCATTTTGTCTCTGTCTTCCCCGTCTCCCTCTTTCTCCTCCCTTCTGGCTGCTTCTATCCTCCCCCCCTTCCATTTCTCTACCTCCTCTTTTTTCTCCTCTCCCTTCATTCTCCTCCTCCTCCTCTCTCTCTTTTCTAACCCTTCCTCCTACTTTAGCAATAACATAAAACAATGTAAAACTGGAGCATATCTTAAATTGTTTTTAGAGTAGATTATTGAACATTTTGTATTTTATTTAATCATTCTCCTTCACACGCCACTTTAAGGTAAATTTCCTGTAGTTTAATGGCCCTCTGTGAAAAAAAAAGTAATCCCTAAGCTATCCCCGCCAACCCACAGACATTCCAGGGGAGACAGGTGCTGGAACAGAAAGCCTTGGGCAATACTCTCCTCTGAGGGGAATACATAAGGGAGGGATTTTCAGAAGAGAAAGGATAAAGAAAAAGTTGTTTATCAGGTAGAAGTCAAGCATATGCCAAAAGGGACCAGAAATCATGCCCTGGTCATGTATTTCCTGTCTGATACTCAGATGACAGTTTCATCCTATTATTTCTAGTTTGCTGAGGAGCCAGCTCCTGACACATCATGAGCTATTCCTTTGGCAACACTTTCTTATTCTTTGGAATCAGAGGAGAAAGAATTTAAAGCAGTTATCATAGAAACACTGAATTTCCCATTGGCCTCTGAGGGTGGAGTACAAGCAGGACACAACAACCTCAAGGGACAGACAGTCAGCAGAGCAACTGGTGACATGCTGCATGGTGTCCTCCTAGTTCTAATGGAAACTATGCTGCCTGGAAGGGTTACATAATAAAACATTTTGATTCTTATGGCCTTCAGCTGGCTCTTGCAAACGAAAGGGCTGCCAGGACTGTTTAGCAGGCGACCCTGACCTTCTCTTGGCCTGGAGGTGATGGGGGAAATCAGACACAGGATAAGGTGACAGAGCAGAGCTAGGTCTTTAAGCTCACCAGTGCATGGACAAAGGCAGAGCCTTGTCTGTGCCGGAAAGGCCTCTGTCTATCCCTGTAGAGGCGGCAGAGAACCAACCGGCAATTGTACGCTGCAGAAAGGCCTTTTAAAACCTCCCTGCAAAGCTCTTCTAACAGTTGGCTGCAAGTACATGAGCTCTTACCAAACCATAGAAATTCAAGAAGGTCGGTTCTATTCCGTGGGGCCTCCCTCCTTAAGCACAGAGTGCAGCGCTGCTGTGAGCTTGTTTTCTTCCAGAGCAGCGACTACCACTAGGGGCTGTAGCCTTCAGGCTGGGCCTGCTTAGCCAGCCAGGGTAATTAGAAGCAGAAAACCCATGCAGCATCAGTCCCGCAGATATTTAATGAGGCACAAATGAGAGAGCTGAGCTTCAGGACATTTAAGTAGCATCATAAAATGATCCAGTCTTTCAATAAAAGAGCCTGGAAACTTCTATTCACATCAATTTGTTTGAAATTGCAGAGATTTTTTTTTCTTTTGTTGAGAACATGGGTGAAAGACTTTGCAGGCAATCACCATGAAACCTGATTCATTCCCCCCCCCCTCTCTCACACACACACACACACACACACACACACACACACACACACAAACACAAACACAGTAGTGAGGCCTGGAAGTTCTAATGTGGGTGACCCAGGGAGAAAAATTCATTTGGGGAGTTTTGGAAGGAAAATGTCAACTCAGTTTTAATTGAACAGTGCTTTAATGTAATCATTTGGGCTCAATGGAAAATGTTCTTTCTCTTTTTGCCTTTTTCTACTTTTTCTTCTTTTTTCTCACCCCTATCCCCAACTGAAAAAATAAATTTGGCAAGAGAAACGAACATTAGGGTTGTGTAAATAAACTGGAGGGCAGGGGTGCTGTGTAAGGTTGAAGAAAGATGGTGTCCATTTAGAGATCTGAAAAGATCGTGCAGGTGACACTCAAAGAAGGGTGTGAAATAATGTTGAAAGATGAGGATATTTGGACAAAGGATAAGGTGACAGAGCAGAGAGAACTTACGGAAGGGTCTTGGTGATTCTGTGAGTCTGGGTCTTCCAGGAAGAGTTGTGGCAGGTGGAGCTGACAGCTGGGTCTCCTCCCCCAGGTAAATGGGATGGACATCAGCAACGTACCTCACAACTACGCCCTGCGCCTCCTGCAGCAGCCCTGCCAAGTGCTGCGGCTGACTATACTGCGTGAGCAGAAATTCCGAAGCAGGACCAATGGGCAGGCACTGGACACCTATGGACCACGGGATGACAGTTTCCATGTGATTCTCAACAAAAGCAGCCCTGAGGAGCAGCTTGGAATAAAACTGGTGCGCAAGGTGGATGAACCCGGGGTATTCATTTTCAATGTGTTGGATGGTGGTGTGGCAGACCGACATGGTCAGCTGGAGGAGAACGATCGTGTGTTAGCCATCAATGGACATGACCTTCGATACGGCAGCCCGGAAAGTGCAGCTCATCTGATACAGGTAGGTCGCAGGTCATTCCAAGACCCTGGTCAGAAACTCTCAGCATGAGCAGGAATGCCATCACCCTGACCACCCACCTGTTTACTACCACATGCAACATACACTGCCTCCCACTCGAGGAGTCAAGGTCAAAGGGCAGGTAAGAACTCTACTCAAGCAAATGCTGTGTCTTGGGGTTGTGGACATTCCCTAGGTGTTGCCAGCCATCTAATATGAGGTGAGTAAACACATTGGGCTATGTGCTGCAAGCTCACCAGGTTACAATCACTCAAGTTCAGCAGGGTTGTGTCATCCTGTACCTAGTATGTTAGTTGCAAACCCAGGGGTTATTCAGATACATTCTGAACACATCCAAGACATCCTGTTGTGCTAACTGCCATAAGAAGCTGTACCATGTGCCCTCTAGGGGTCCTATGGACAGAGACCACTATAGGATTGGCTAAGGCTAAACTTTATTTCCATGGCTACATCCAGGTCCTCTGGAAAGCCCACAGGAACTCAAGTATGAATTTGAGATGAAGTCTCCTAATAAGAGAGGTAGATAAATTATTTATCATTCAGGCAAATAGCATTCCCAATAGCCTGAGGTTGGTTCAAACTAATTCACTTTCCAACTGGTATGATGTCATCAAGGCCCAGCATGAATCTTGTTGACTTTGGCTGAGTCACCATGAGTTTTTCTAATGTTCAGTGAGCTGCCAGCTTTATTCTTAGAGGGACAGGCTGTGTTTTGGGTTTTTGTATTCTAAACCATTCATTCACTTAATTTAGCCAATATGTATTAAGTTCCTGCTGCTTCCCTAGCCCTGAGTTAGGTGCAGAGAACAGAGAGATGTTGACTCTCAGGCTACTCTCCCAAAGAAGCCCGCCATCTAATCGGGGACATGGACTTTTCTAAATGACTGCCATATAGTGTGAGAGTTCTATAATGGGGACATTAAGCCCTGTGCTGATGCAGGCATAGAAGAGGTTTTTGCTTGGGTGGGCAGAAGATCTTGAACTTGGGCTTTGAGGGATCAGAAGTTCTCTAGGTGGACAAGGCAGGGAGGGTCAATCTAAGGGGATACAAAACAGAACATTTCCCTAAAAGCCTGTAAGGAAAATGGTTAATACCTAGAGCATGGTATACATCAAAAAAAGCTGCCATAGGTAAGGCAGGAGTGGTAGGCAAGGGCCAGATCACAGAGTGTTATGAGCCATACCAAGGAGTTCAGACTTTATCCCCAGGGCCATGGGGTGTCATTGGAAGAGTTTAAGAAAGGAAGTGATTTTCCAGAAAGATCTCTCTAGAGGCAGTGGATTGCTGGTAGGAGAGGGGCAGAATTAGAGGCAAGAAGTATTTGCAGTTATCTGGCGCATCATGTCAGCTTCTACTTAGCAACTGAAGTGACTTCAAGAACAGTGAATCAGCTTCAGTAGTTGACTGAACCTTGTACCAAGTTGGTGAAGGATGACAGTCATAAAACAGAGTCTGCCCACAAGGACTTGGTTACTTGATTATCTAATCTCCCTACAAATAAATCTCCCTACACTTGGCTTCCAGCCATGGAATTCTTCTAGGTGCTGGCAACTCTTTTCACCATTGTGTGTGTCTTATCCCTCTTCTTTGAGGAGAACCAAATAGTGGATGAAACTGACATTTTAGATGTGGCTGACCCGAGGCAGAGGGGACTTACCCTGCTCGTTCCGTCCACCAGAATTGGAAGGACACATGGTGCCTCGGCCCCTGAACTGTGTTACTCTTAGTGGCGTCCCAATTCTAAGGTGATTCTCAGCCTGATAGATCTTCCCCACAGGGCATTAGGTCATGCAGGTGGAGAACAAAAGCAGAGTTACAAGGGGGAATTTCCCTTCTGGAGTTTATACCAACTAGTCCCAAGCTCATATGCTTAGCCCCAACTTCTCCTCTGAACACCACACTTCATATCCAACTACCTGCTTGGTTTCTCCATGTAGATGTCTTAGAGGCACCTGAAATTTAATGTCTAAAACTGAACCCTTGGCTTCTCTCCACTCCACCCCTTGTCAAACCTGCTCTTCCCTCAGTATTTCCCAGTCTCTAAAACTTGCACCACCATTTACCCTGTTATTTGAGCCGAAAAGAATCTTTACTCTGTTCAACATCTCCCTCCCACAATCCATCTCTCACCACCTCCATGGCTTCCATCAGTCGGGCCACTATCGACTTTGGTCTGGGCCACTGTAAGAACCTCTTAACTGGTCTCCTTGCTTCTACACTTGCTCCTTCACCTCTACTCTTCACACAGCAGTTAGAATGACCACTTTAAAAAGTCAACCCCGTCATGTCCCTCTCTTGTGCTCAGCCCTCTGATGCTTAATCTGGCCTTTAGCTATCTCTCCAACTTGACTTCCTAAGCAAAGGGGAGAATTTCTACCTTCCCCCTTGTGCTTGCCCAGGCTCAGTTACATTGCCTTCTTGCTACTCCTCAAACATTTCAAGAACTTTTTCACCTAAAGGCTGATATTCTTGCTGTCCCTCTGACTGGAAGAAATCTTCCAACTATCTACATAACTCCCACACTTCATTCAGATTTCTTCTCAAATGTCACCTCAGAGAGGTCTTCACTGCCAATGCCACTTAAAACAGTGTCTCCCACCTCCAATTCTACATCCTCTAATCTGCTTTATTTTGTTTTTCTACTAATTATTACCTTCCAATTTAATTTAATATGTAGTACAGTAGAGTACTGTATCTCAAGTACTTTAAGAAATGCCTTGCCATTGTAGACACTCAATACATATTTGTTGAATAAATAAATTGAGTCAAATTATAAAATGTCAATATATATAAAATATAAGTTACACATTTCTACACATTTCATCTCATAGGGTTTTTTTTGTCAAACCATTTACCAAAGAACAAACACCAAATCTACTCTTACATGCTATTTGTCCCCAAGATAGAATCTCTAATTTTTGTCCCCTCAAATTTACTCAGCTATTATTCGCTGAGCACCTATGTGCCAAGAGGTGTGTGGTACAATGGAGAACAAGACTGACACAGTTCCTGGCCTTGTAGAGCTTGGAATATATTCCCATGTCTGATCTCAAATCAGTCAAGCCAGCATTAAGCAGGTGGTTCCCACCTAGAGTGCCAAGGGGTGAGAACAGAAAATAGACAAAGTTTATGAAAACATTAACCCTTGAAAAAGGAAGAGTTTTTGTTGTTTTTCTTCATAAAGAAACTGCACTCTCAGCATGAGTGTGTGTGTGTGTGTGTGTGTGTGTGTGTGTGTGTGTGTGTGTGTTACACTTGTTAACTCCCTCTGCAGGACAATCAGTGCTACTTGCATTCTAGAGTTCATCTGTCAACTACACTTTGCAATAGGGAAAATGAAAACTCCCTTACTCATGTCATTTGGAAAAATTTGGCATTCTAAATATGATTGCATATGGCATTCTACTTTTGTAGATTAGTACCAGAAAGAAAACTTTTTTCCCTGAGAAAGTTAATTTATGAAATCTTGCCTAACAGTGGGACTTCCTAAAATATTCTTCTGCTTACTAAACAAAGCCAATGTGCTTTATAAGCAGGAGATGAGAGAAAAAAAAAATGGGCAAAGCTAGTTGGAAAAGAAATGGAAAAACTAGAATGCTTGGAAAACCCAGTTAAGCAATCTCAAGAGTAGATTTTGTGATACTTGTAACACACACCAGGCTGGGGATATTAAACTAAATACCCTTCGAAGGTTGAAACACAAATTTCCAACCAATCCTTGGCTGCATTGCCCTTGTACCTACTCTATGAATCATATTTGCCTTACAAAGAAATTCCCAGACAACGTGTCCTTTTGGTCATGTTTTCTCCCACAATACCACACATTCTGCCTCTTTCCACATTATTTCAGGGAAAGGTTATTACAGAAAAGCCACGACTGTTTTGAATTTGACCAGCTTTACATATGTGGAGTCTTAACCTCAGCTTACTCAGCAGCAGCCCTGGGTGCCAGACCCCAGAACTAAAGAGATGGAGAGTCAGGCTCCTTAAGAGGCGAAATCTTTAAATACGACGCAGTTGACTTATTTAGAACTTAATACAAATTTTACATCATTTCCCCATGTCAATTTAAGGTTTTTTTGAGCACCATGACTAGAATAACTGTATGAATGGGAGAGCTTTATGGAACTGTCTGGTGTCAAAGCTAAAATGAGAAAACAAAGAAATATGGACCAAAGATTTGAGACCCCAGGGTAAAAAAGACATCTCAACATCCAAAATCTTAGAGATTCAGCCTGTATCTATCCAGTATTCAATATGAGAATGATTTATTCTGAGAGTTATGCCTATTTTGAGATGCTCTCATCTATCAGCAATTCTGGATCAGTGAGTTTATATTTATTTACGAGTTCAAATATATACAATTAATAAAGAAAAAAGTAATTATGTATTTCAAATTTGAGCATCCTCCTAATCAACTCCCAGGCTTGATAAAGAAGCTAAAAAAAATCCAAAAGCATTTGTAGAGGTGGTGACAAGACAGGTTTTCATTAATACTGACATATGTACGATTTTTTTTCCCCTTCACATGAATTAATATTGAAATGAGAAGTTTTTTCATCAAAGAACAACTGACAACCAGGCTCTTCAAACTTTTTAAAAGAATGTGATAGGCCTTTAGACAGAGCCAGAAAGCAAATAATAGACTGGCCACATTACCTATCTTTGTTCTAAATACATGATTCCAGCGCATGAGTTCTGCATAATTGGAAAACAGGCAGAAATTTTGTCCCCTGGAGCCAGTAAGAATTGTCAGTGAAATAAGACCTGGTGGATCTGGATGTTTTTTACAGATCAGCACAGCTAATATAGAATTAAATCCTTAGTTAAACAAATTCTCTTAGCATGGTATTGTAGTACATTTAAGACACATGCACTAAACAATACATAGATTTACAAACATTCTCCTTGAGTGGAATTCTTACAATCCAAATGACTTACATAGAGTTGCAAATTTCATGAATTTGTGATAAAGCATGAC